AATAAAATAAGTATAGATATGCAGAATATATTGGTCGATCGCGTCGGGAACAACGTACCAAAACTCGAGTTTAAGCGCCTCGAGATGCGTTTTGTGTGAGAGGGTTGTCGATCGTGCTTCGAACACGTACAAAAACTCGAGTTTTCGCGCCTCGAGATGCGTTTCGTGTGAGAGGGCGGGTCGTCAATCGTGCCCGGAAAACCTTTCCAAAACTCGAGTTTTAGCACGTCGACACGCGTTTCGTGTGAGAGGGTCCTCGATCGGGTTCCGAAAACGTACCAAAACTCGAGTTTTCGTACTCGAAGTCGAAGTTTATTTTCTTTTTGATCATTTTTTATTTGTTTTTTGATCCTGGGCTGCGTTATTTTTTTTTGATCCTTTTTTATTTTTTTTGATCCGGCAGCCTACTCCCCCGTATGCTAACAGTCCTTGATAGGCTACGAATAGGAACTTTTAGTACTCCTATTATAATCCCCATTAAGGACTACTAGTATAATAAAGGGGGCCTAAACCCTAAACCCTAAACCCTAAACCCTAAACCCTAAAGACTGCTAGTATAAAGGGGGGGGGCATCCCAAGCCTCTTGATTTTTGGGGTAGGAAAGAAACTCTGAGAGGCGCAAGTCCTGGAAGAGCCTTGGCTTGAAGTACAGCCCTTCCTTGGGTTTAGGGTTTAGGGTTTAGGGTTTGGGGTTTGGGGTTTAGGGTTTAGGGTCCTAAACCTAAACCCTTTTTAAGGGTTCATTGGTCCTCAAGGTTCTGTAGTAGACTATGGAGCGAAGATATGCGAAATCCGCCCCACGACCTCTGCAACCTGAGGAGTTTAGGAGTTAGGGTTTCGGGCTTAGGGTTTCGGGTTTAGGGTTTGGGGTTTAGGGTTTAGGGTTTAGCGTTTGGGGTTGAGAGTTCAGGGGTAGAGCTCAGCCAATGGCGGTGGTCTCACACTGCTGACGTGCACTCATGTGGGGAGGTTCACGAAAATAGGGGACCCCCGAATATAGACCCCCAAAGAAACCCGAAACCCGAAACCCTAAACCCTAAACCCTAAACCCTAAACCTCAAGGTGCCAAAAAACAAACCGGCTGAATGTTGCCAGATCCTAGGAGGAGCTGCGCCTTTGCCGTGCCGAGCTCGAGGGCAGCCGGTCTGCCCTGCGTGCCGAGTTTTCGGCACCCGGGCTTCTTTTCAGGACTTCCAAAAACCCTAAACCTTAAACCCTAAACCACCCTAAACCCCCCTAAACCCTAAACCCTAAACCCTAAACCCTAAACCCTAAACCCTAAACCCCCCTAAACCCTAAACCCTCAACCTTAAACCCTAAACCCCTGAGAGGATCCAAAAAGAATCGATCCCCTTAAGGGTTCCTAAGAAAGACCCCGTAGTATAGGGTACTATTAGAAAGTAGATCCCCTTAAGGGTTCCTAAGAATGGCCCAATAGTAGCATAGAGTACTATTTGGGGGCTCTACTTCTTGGATCTAGGGGGGCCTAATATAGGAGCCTTGCTAATTAGAATAGTGTCTTTGGGGGGCTTGTTATGGCGTAAGTATATAGCAATTATTCCGATTATTCCGGCCCTTGTATTAGACCCCAAGCCCTACTTGGGACGTCACCTGAGACGTGGACGCAGGGTTGAGGCATGGGCAGTGTGGATAGTTGCCAGCGCCCTAAACCCTAAACCCTAAAACGTAGGGGTGCCTTGGCTTTTTGTTGGTGCCTTTTTGGGCTTTGGAACTCCCTGAGTTTCTTCTCTTCATGCGTTGCTTGGGATGTTCCCCCTTCTACGAGCATTCCTGAAAGGGGATTATAGTACCCCCTATTTTTTTATCCCTATTAAGGAGCTGTTCGTACAAAGGGGGAACATCCCCAAACCCTAAACCCTAAATCCCAATGAGCTGAGGCCAGCCAGCAGCTCCTGAGCAACGAATGCGATGCTGCGACCAGCCTGCTGCTCTGTGCGACAGAGCAACTGCAAAGCTCAAGCTCCAGCACATGAGGGTTTAGGGTTAGGGTTTAGGGTTTAGGGTTTAGGGTTTAGGGTTTAGGGTTTAGGGTTTAGGGGGGCCATGGCAGCTAGAGGCACGTAAGAGAGTCCTCGAGCAACAAGGGCGGCCATGAGGGGGCTTAGGGTTTAGGGTTTAGGGTTTAGGGTTTAGGGTTCCGTGCTGCCAGAGGGAGGCCGGCTCTGATGCGGAATTCTCGCAGAGGTCTAATCACGCAGGCCCTTCAAGCAGCCCTAAACCCTAAACCCTAAACCCTAACCCCTAAACCCTAAACCCTAAACCCTAAACCCTAAACCCTAAACCCTAAACCCTAAACCCTACAGTTCCGACGGGAATGTACAAAGCTTCTGCTTCCTGTCGAAGATCGCGGGGGGCATCATCGCTTCAAGACCCAGTGCAGCGCCCTGGACCAAAAGCTCTGTCGCGCTCGCCGCCGCCGTTACCTTCCTAACTAGATGGGTTTTTGATTCTCTTTTATTTCCTTATGGCATTCTTACTACTATAATTGTAACATCATCACCATCATAATTAATATTTCTATGATGATGATTATTACTACTATTTTTATGATCTTATTCCATTCTTCATTGCTCTTATCATCCCTTACATTCCGAGACGGATCCCTCCCTGCGCGGTTTCCGGCGCGCGCAGCGCGCAGTGAAGCGCTTGGTTGCTCTCCGTAGCTGTTGCGGCCTCCAGTTCCAATTTGTGCATGAGCCCCACTCTCCTGGGTAGTTAGTAAAACTGCCCTTAGGACTGTAGCAGAAGCTTGCTTTCGCCAATTAGTAGAACTTTATAAGCCTTTTTTGGGCTTTCTTGCTTTGTGGGAGGAATTAAGGGTTTAACCTTTTTTTATTCCTTGGTTATTGGGAGAACTCAGGAAGCGCCCGGTGGCAAAAGGCCCAGGCCATGGATGCCCTCACCAGCATGGGAAATCAAGAATTGGATGGCTTTGTCAAGGCAACAGCCGCTTCGGCTGCAGCTTGAGACAGATCGGGGTGGCTCTCTCTCTCAACATTGGGGCGGGTTCCCTTTCTTAAGGGGGCTTCCGCCGATGTAGCGGCACGGCACCTTGCAACAAGGAAGCCCCCCGGAAGGGACCAAAACTTGGGGAGAATTGCCCATCTGATGCGGGGCCATGTCTGAAACCCTCAACCCAAAGCCCTGGTGCTCTGTCGCAAACCCTACAAAAACCCTAAACCCTGATGCTTCGTCAGTCTAATTGCAAGAACCTAAACCCTATACCCTAAACCCTAATCCCTAAACCCATGCCAGGTTACATTTCGAGTCCGAGCTGAGACAAATCTCGGAGATCAGGTTTTCCTTGTGGGAAGCGGCGCCTCCCTGGGGTCTTGGAAGCCACAGGAAGGCGTCGCTCCTGGGTAGCCCAGTGGTACCCTTTTCCCTTTTTTGGGGGTTTAGGGTTTAGGGTTTAGGGTTTAGGGTTTAGGGTTTAGGGTTTAGGGTTTAGGGTTTAGGGTTTAGGGTTTAGGGTTTAGGGTTTAGGGCTCCCTTATGAAGTAACCAACCCAAAAAGGGTGCACTTGTTATGATATGGTGCCTGGGCTACTCAGGCTCTCAAGACGCATGAGGAGGCGTACCCTCTTTGGTGGGCGACGATCCAGTTCCCACTAGATGCCCGACATAAGCACAGCATCCTCATGGAGTATAAGTTCGTGATCCGCCACACAGATGGGTGGACAGAGTGGGAGGAGCCTTGGGGACAAAAATGAACCCTAAAATTGGGGCCATGTACCCGACTTGGAGGTTCATGGGTGGTTACAAGTAGAGTTATAAGTGCTCTAAGTAGGGTTATAAGTGTAGTTACCATACTTATAACCCTGACTCCAAGCATATGACTACAACCCCCTATTAAGGCTTATGGACGATGAGCCCTTGTAGGCTTCTTTCCGTCCCTAAGGAAGGTCCAAATCGAGAACTGCCGCTGATGTTGCGGGAGGACGACACCTTAGATCCCAGGACCTACCCTCCCTACATGGCCATCTTCGGAGACTTGGTAGCCCAGTGGTACCCTCTGCCCTTTTTTTTTGGGTTAGGGTTTAGGGTTTAGGGTTTAGGGTTTAGGGTTTAGGGTTTAGGGTTGTGAGGAGCGCGTCTCGGAAGTATTGACCCCCCAGCAGAATGAAAAAAAACACAAGAAAAATACAAGAATGAATTCAAGAGAAAATACAAGTAGCGATTCAGGAACAACGGTGAAATACAAAAAAATGCAAGACGAATACAAAAAAAATGCAAGAAAAACACAAGAAAAAATACAAGACAAATACAAGAAAAATGCAAGAACAATACGAGAAAAATGCAAGCAAAGGAAAGGGGGGGGGGGGGGGGGGGGGGGGGGGGGGGGGGGGGGGGGGGGGGGGGGGGGGGGGGGGGGGGCTTGTATTTTTGTCGTGTTTTTTCCGTATGTTTCGCGTGTTTTTTCCGTGTTTTTTTTCGTATTTTTTCGTATTTTCCGTGTTTTTTTTCGTATTTTTTTCGTATGTTTTTCGTGTTTTTTCCGTATTTTTTCGTATTTTTCGCGTATTTTTCGCATATTTCAAAATACAAGAAAAACACGAAAAAAACACGGAAAAAATACGCTAAAAATACGGAAAAAAACACGACAAAAACACAAGACCCCCCCTTCCCCCCCGCGCCTCCGCGCCTCCCCCCCCCCCCCCCCCCCCCCCCCCCGCCCCCCCCCCCGTCCCCCCCCCCCCCCCCCGCCCCCCCCCCGCCCACCCCCCGCCCCGCCCCCCCCCCCCCCCCCCCGCCCCCCCCCCGCCCCCCCCCGCGAAAAACACGAAAAAAACACGAAAAAAATACTGAAAAAACACGAAAAAAAAACACGGAAAAAATACGGAAAAAACACGCGAAAAATACGAAAAAAATACGACAAAAATACAAGCCCCCCCCCCCCCGGCGCCTCCGCGCCTCTTGTATTTTTCTTGTATTTGCTCTTGTGTTTTTCTTGTATTTTTTTTGCATTTTTCTTGTAA